TGAAAATAGATTACATTAAGCTTATTTGTTTTCACTCCCCTCAGGCGGGAAGCTGTTTCCGTGCAGTGCAACGCTGTCATTCTTTCTTTGCTTCTGCACAACCTTTAATTTCAACATTCCTCCATATTGCTTTGTTCCCTGTTATATCCCACTACGGACTAAGACTCTCAGATCATCATTTGATATTAAAACAAGTGAAATTCAGCCCGGAGTGAGATCTTTGAGCTCATGAAGTCTCATCATTTATCACGTTTCTTTCACTGCCACCGTCTTCTGTCGGCACCGCTTTCCACTGCAATCAGGCCCGTGTTCTGCACATTGCACAGCAGCTGGCTTCAATTTGACAACCCAATCAAGACAACCAGTGGGAAACCAGTAGCAGGTAGCCACACTCAAAATCGTACTACAGCTCAGTTAGCAGCCGACCTAAAGTCAAGGCCCGTGCAACAAAAAGCCACTATGGGGCCTGGGTTATTTCTGAAGCCCAGTGAAACCATCATTTTCCCTTTGCTTGTTTTTGTTCTTTGGTACAGGTCTGGGCCGCAAAACATCTTAAAAAAACAAAATGTATAAGCTAGAAATGGCCGCTATTTTTCTTTTTTTAAATTAGGTCTGAAAATGAACAGGTGGTTCTTTTTTGAGCAGATGCAATTTCTTCACCTGCTTTCACAACAGCCCAGAGATTTGAATCAAATAGTCTAGTCTCTGTAAAATAGCTAAGAACGTCCACTGCAGCCTGAATACAGAAACAAAAGCCTTGCTTTGCAGAAGAGCTGAGCCTGCAAGGGCTTACTCCTGTCATGGTGTGTGTGTATGTGTGTGTGTGTATGTGTGTGTGTGTGTGTGTGTACGGCAAATGGAGGTTTGACTCCTGCCACCTCGGCACTCGTCCGACAAATCCGTTTTAGCGACACCGCTCTTTAAACTGTGGACCTGCCAACCTCAAACACCAATCAGAGAGGAGAGCCATGCTCATTATTCAGGACGATTAGCCAATGGGCCGGGTGTTCCCTGTCGTTACTCATGGCCCATTTGGTCCCAGTCAGATGACGGCGCCGTGTCCAGTCAGGTTTTATGTCACTCCGGGGGGCCGGCACAGGAAGGCGAGAGAGAGGGGCGGCCAGCTCGAGGTCAGCCTCAGCCAGGAGTCCGGCCCTCGTGGAATGTGCGTCAGCGAGTACATGCATACAGCGCATACGCACGATAGCTGTACAAAGTGGAAATTAAACGAGATAAAGCAAATATGCCGTTTGGGATAACCGGCCAATAACAGCACAACACGGTGAGCATGATCTGAGTTTCTGAGGAGGGGAATATTTCACATCATTTATCAGACATGAGGGAACTCTACTTGGCAGCCTCACGGCCGGATGGTGGCGGCAAGAAATACTGTTTATGTACGGACACAAAACTACACATGCACACACAGAGTGAGAGATGAAACTGTGTAGGCATGCTAATCCAGTTAACACTCCTGCCCCCGCCAGTCTGACACGAGTGTGTCAACCAGTTACCCACAAAGTTGGATGCTCCGTTGTGTGTTGACATTCAACCAATAACACGGTTACTATGGACATAAAAAGCCAATGTCTGAAATGAACTTTTGACCTCAGTGATTTTTTCTTTAATGTATCTATTTATCTATAACAAACATAAATTATATTATATTATTATATATTATATATATTATAAATAAATAACACATCATGTAGTAGTTTAAGGCGGCACGGTGGCGTGGTGGTTAGCACTGTCGCCTCACAGCAAGAAGGTCCTGGGTTCGATTCCGCCCAGTGGCCTTTCTGTGTGGAGTCTGCATGTTCTCCCCGTGTCTGCGTGGGTTCTCTCCGGGTTCTCCGGCTTCCTCCCACAGTCCAAAGACATGCTCTGGGGATCAGGTTGATTGGGGACTTTAAATTGCCCGTAGATGTGTGAATGTGAGTGTGAATGGCTGTATGTCTCTGTGTAGCCCTGTGATTGGCTGGCGACCAATCCAGGGTGTACCCTGTCTATCGCCCGAAGTTGGCTGGGATGGACTCCAGCCCCCCCGCGACCCTGTGTGCAGGATAAGCGGTTTGACAATGGATGGATGGATGGATGTAGTAGTTTAGATCCCAGCTTCTTCTAGTAAGCTCAACCCGAACCCGCCCAACCCAGTGTGACGACTCGAAGAGACAGTGAAGATTAACTTCCTGTTTTTATTTTCGTAACCACGGCACTTCCTGTATCTAGTTTCTCACCCTTTGTTTCTCCCCACAGCTGAGTTTAGTTTGCAATCACCTCCACCTGTATTTAAGCCTCAGTTCCCCACTTGTCTGTGTCAGGTTATCTTTTGTCTTTCCTAGAGGTGCATGTTTGTAGTTTGAAATTCCCAGTGCTGTTTTTGGTAATCTTGTTTTTACTTCGTTGCCAGGCTCTCTTCCTTTTTGTTTCTACAAGAGCGTGTGGATTCCGCCTTTGCCTGTGCACACTTTGTCTTGCATTAGTTTATTTTCCTAGTAAAAGATTCCAAACCTAGAGAGAAGTTTCTGTTGCCTTATTGCTCTGCACCTGAGTCGAAGTCCTGACCCCTCACACCCAGCATCACTACAGCAATACTATACCAATAGTTGCTGGAATGCATTAAGCATTCAAAGTATTGTTCTTTCAATCTTTATTCAACTTATTCTATTTCTTCTGCGCCACCTTTCAACTCCTTCACACTTTCAGCTATTAAAACCGTTAAAATGTTAAAACATTCTGCTCTTTCCCGGGAGCGGTTCTATGCCCTTTCAGCTTTCTAGCTCTTAAGCTTGAATTTATATAAATCAATAATCATTAATATTTTAACATGGTTTTCCAATGGAGATCGTTTTTCAAATCCTCTTCAACTTCTTCAACTTTCAGATTCTTCAGCTTCGCCAATCTTTCAGCTACAGACACCATTTCAACTTTCAAATGTTGACACAAGTCTAAACTATTTTATGAAAAAAACTGCTTGTTGATATCTATTCTACTTTTTTCATAATCACTGATTATATTTCACTAGTTCTTCGCTCCGTTTCTGAGTTTTACACGAGTGTGTATTTGTAGCACACATGGACATTCGTGACACCCAGCCGTGCGTTAATTTTAAGAAAATCTTTATTCCTCCGTGAACACAGGTAAGAAGTGCGCATCAGCGCCAAGTTACAGGGACCATCTTTTTCCGCTTCTTCTTTTCTCTTTTCCTTACTTTTTTCCAAGCGCGCGAAAACATCTCCCCGTTGTCTCTAAAAAAGGTCCCCTTAGGTGACCTCAGTGCCTGTTCACTTACCAACACATATACATACTATTGCTTTGCAAAAGAACCTATGCAAGTTTAATCAACAAATAATAATTCTAGTGCTCTCTTGATCAACAAACATATGGACTCACACTATCATGTATCATTTTTCCCATTTTCAAACTCTAGTGCAAACACTTATGAACATGTGTCTCCTATTAACTAACACTACCCATAACAAAACACAGTGTTTCTGGTATTTACTTGTGTCTGTCCATAACTGATGGTTGACCTAATCTATTGTTTGTGAGTTTTTTTGGTGGATTTCTTTGTCGAAAAAGTGCAACGACCGTCGGAAAACAGCCAGAACAGTGCAGAGAGTCAGACGCTGTTCCCCATGCTGGACGAGGTGACGGTGGAGCTTTTCTTCGACCACGCCGCCGCCAAACTCAAGACAGCGCCTCCTGTGGTTCAAGCGGAGCTCAAGAGCATGGTGGCGTGTGGGCCTCCGTTGGGTGAGTCGGGTTGTGGAATGAGAGGGATTCTTTGTTACATCTGAATCTGTAGTTCGATTCCAGTTCTTAAAACGGTTCGATTCATTTGAATAATGAACGGCGCGGCAGCTGGTGTTGGGTGAGACAGTTTCCACTTCCACCTCCAACCTCCTCTGTGGACTTTTCACTGCCCACAGTTGGTCTCACAGTGTGTGTTTGAGCTCAGTGCTGCAGTGATGAATGAGGGTCTGACTGCTTCTCCCCTGTCTCCACAGGATGAGCTACCTGCTGCTGCCGCTGGACAAGAACCGCATGCTGAGGAGCACCGGCCTCGTACACGTGGAAAGCGTCAGCAACAGCTACGGCACAAACAGCTACGTCACAAACAGCTACGGCCAGCTGTCGAACTGCCTCGTTCTCACGAACTTTCCTGTCATTCTCCAGCTGCTCTAAAAAAGGTAATAAGACGGCAATAAAGATCATCTTTAAAATGAAAAGGGGATCAGAGTTGTAAGTAAAAATATGCAGGTCGGCCGGAAAATTATAGACTTTTCTTCTCCCAATATAGTTGAAATCACTGTATCGTTGATATTGAGAGCAATGATCGTTGTTCCCCTGTTGTTCCTGACCAAACTGTTCCAGAACAAATCTTCTTATCAAACATTGCTCAGAATCATTCATTTGGAAAGGAAATCATTTCATAAAGCGTTGTTATATCTTAATGACACAATTCCACTTAAAGTTGATTTGAGCTGTTTTGGTGTTTATCAGAATGTCATTTTCATCTCTATGAGGAGACAGGCATTAATTGATATCTGCTGTCGGTAATCTGTTCATGGAATATATTTACAACCAAATCAACATTCGTCCTTTAAAATAGAAATAAAGCCAAAGTCAATTAAAAAAAGATTGTACGAACGTTTAAATACTAAAAATCCCTTTTATTGGGTTTTATCCAAGATCTCTAAGCAAGCTGTTCAGTGTGGGACATGAGGTTTATGTACTTTACACAACACACCTTTAAAGACAACATACATGAGCTCCATATGCAGGTCGTCAAGATCAAACATTGCATGTGATTCAGCCAACAAGGAGCAACTGTTCCCACGTTAGATAATCCACTCGGAACTGGTGGCTGGAGTGTGTGACGGCTTCATTCAAACACTGCTTTGCTTCCAGCTCAGGCGGGTCTGTGAGAGTTTGGAAACCTTTTTATCCCCCTGGTCTTGTAGTAATGCGGGCAGCATGGCGGAAAGCTACGACACGGAGAGCGGCTTCGAAGATGCCGAGAGTTCCGACGTGGCAAACTCCGTGGTGCGCTTCATCAACCACTTCGTGGACAAAGCGTGCAACGAGAGCGGTGTGACCAACGAGCACCGTAAGGGCCTCCACACCATGATGCCAGGTACACACTCCACCCTCACCCTCACACACTCGCTCCCTGATCCCTCCCTGTGCCTTGAGCGTCACACCCAACTGTGCCCTGGTTTCCTTGCAGACATCGTTCAGATGCACATCGAGACGGTGGAAGCAGTCCACCCCCCTCAAATTGCTTGTACGTGTAGTTGAGGAACACCCAATCCTTCGACTTGAAGTCCGGCTCCGTGGCGTTGGCTGTAGATGAACACATGATAAGAGGAGGTGTTAATATTCTGCCACCTGAAGGGCAGTGCATCGTGTGAATGGAAAGGCTGCACCCTCACCCTGCTCTTGATTGCAATGGAGATGGCTGCAGGACGCTCCCTGTGGGGACGAGATGCAGAAATCACAAGCATTAAACTCGTGCTTTTGAGTTGAGCTAAATAATGGCATTTTCCTTAAATTACATTACATGTCATTTAGCTGACGCTTTTATCCAAAGCGACTTACAGTAAGTGCATTCGACCATAGCGATGCAAACTCAGAAGATCAAGAAACAAGTGCAATTTCCTCTAATAAGCCAATTTACAATTTGCTATAGATAAGTGACGTTACAAGTACAATTTAAGTGCTACAATTTGTTAGTCTTTTAGTCGAGGTAGAGTCTGAAGAGCTTGTGTGTCTTTAGTCTGAAGATGTGAAGGCTCTCTGTGGTCCTGGTGTCTTCAGAAATTGCTTTGACTAAATTGTCGGCTGATCTTCAAATCATGTTTTCAAGCATCGTTATTTTTCTTTCTTTGCTCATTGATGGACTGTTTGTTGTGTGCAGAGATACATCGCTGTCAACAGTACTGAGCACAGTTTCTAGGCCTGCTGTCTTTTTGTGGTTGGAAATAAAATGTCAAATTTGGCTCGACAGAAACAAGACCAACAAGCAGCAGATTCTGTTTCTATACATTTATTCCTTGATTTGTAAACAGTAGCCATATGTTGTTATTTTGCAGCCTTTCAGAGGCTACATATTGGAAACGTTATGTTGTATGTGATGCTGTGGAAAGAATATATCCTACCCTGTTGTCCTCCTGTGTGCCCCACTAAGAAACTGAAGACGTGGAAAGAATGGCTCCCTTGGGTGCTGTTGTAAAACTGGAAGAGGCTGGAGAAGGTGCGCCTGTTGTCGGACGTGTCGGCGAAGATGGCGTCCTGAAAGTTGACGCCGTGGGGGAGGATGTTTTGGTTCTCATCCATCCTGCAGAGGAGATTGTCCAGAAGAAACTGTGAGGAGGGAGCTGAAGCGGCCGAGGGAATTATTGGTGTTTTGGCTGACATTGTAGCAAATGAAGTATGTTTTTGCAAATGTCATAGGCCGATGCATTTATGTTTAAATGAGCCTTTTTGCTTTGCGGGTAAAATGTTCCTTTGCAAAACAACTCGCACCGCGATCAAATATTCAGAAGATAAAAATCTCAAGTCTCCCCTGCTGGAAATACTCTTGGCATACCAAATATTTATATTTAACCATTGCTTATAGAACTGATCAGTGCTCCAAAACAAACGGACAAATGAATATAACTTTTAGTTGCTATTCAGCGTAATGGTCTTAATAGTGACAACAATTAAACGTCTATAAACTGTTAAAATAATGTTTAGAGTCCAAAAGAGTGTTGGTACTTGCATTAGGTTCTGCACTTACACACCTAAGGAAGAAGAAGTAGGAGTAGTTCTCCATCACGGTGTGGGACTGGCAGGACAGGAACCCCAGTCCGGTCAGGTTGAGCCTCGACCCAGAAGGCACCTCCAGCACGCTGCCCCAGGCCTGATCGCACAGCAACTCCACCTCCGCTGTGTACAGCAGCCCTTCCTCCGCGCCCTCGTACCCGAACCCGAACCCGAAGATGCGAAGTTTCTCGTTGAAACGAGTTGAATCTGCGTGTAGTCAACCAGTGTTGCTGACGCACTCCCATTGGCCACAAATGATTTATTTATATTCATAAAATACCTTTTCTTCTAATGTTACGCTTGCATCACAGACAAATGTTTTCTATCATATTAGCGTTCTGTTGCGTCTGCTTTTACTTTGAAAATCTAACGCGCGTACTTCCGATTTAACTGCTGCGCTTCGTATTTTTTTTTATTACGTTAGGTAAAGAATGCATGAATTGATTTAACACAGACCTCATACAGCTACTTAACAATTCAACGTCACGTTTGATTGCTATGTTTTGGTCTAGTTTTGTTTTTTAATTAGCCCGCTGGCGGTGATGCTAACGTTAGCTGACGTCCTCCAGTCCATTCGAACACACACAAAGTAAATCGTCAGCGACGAATAGCGATGTCCAGATTGCACCTTCTTTCACAGCTGAGAAAACGTCCGATCCATCTAACTTCTTTAGTTGTGACGCATTTTGTAATGACGATAATCGCTCTGACAGTATATCAGCTGTCAGTCGGTGACGCAGTCGTCGCCTAGCAACCGTTGCACGTCATCGCATTTATCCTTTGATGTGTAACATCTGGTCATAACTTGAAGCTATAAATATAGGTAAGAGGAGGTCGAGAAGTGCTTTAGTAAACAGGAATCGAGTAGAAACATCACAGACAGGGAAGATGGAGGACTCAGAATACAGCGTGAAGCCATTTATTGAGTCCTTTTTCAACAGTGTGACTCCAGGACAGTTTGAACTGTTGAGAAATGGCACCCCAGACAGCACCACCAAAGTGCGGTTGGCCGACATGATATTAAACATGGTCACGGTCTTGACAGAAGCCATGCTCAACAATCTAAGGACCAGAAACATGTCTGAGGTCAAGGACGTGGGTGACACTGTGATGCAAGGCTTCAAAGATGTCCTGGAAGTCAAAGGCGAGATCAGGGATCACAGCTCAGAAATTTTGAGTAGCATGATCAATGAAGAGGTTAGAGCCAGAGTCAATTCTAACACCTCTGAAACCTTACAGTCTGAGGACACGACTCCACCCACAAGACTCAAGCAAATGGTCAATCATGCCGAAGAAATGATAAAAAGCTTTATAGCAAAGCTGAAATTCCCATTTCGAGAGCGAAAACAGAAAACCACTTTCGAAGACCTGAATGGGACAGATGACGAGTCTCCAGAAACCTCACACGCAGTTGACAACCACAAGAATGTCCCATCAGGCGGCCAGACTGATACGGAAAGCATTCAATCTCCGGAAGCAGTAATTGTGAGGGAGGTGAATAAGACCATGCTTCCTTTCTTGGACGACATGTCAGACGCTGACTTTCAGAACTTGCAGGTCGACAGCTCCTTGGAAACAATTGTTCCTCGGGGAGTTCTCGAAGAACTGCAGGAATCGGAGGGGACAGACAAGAAAACACAAGGAAGCAGTGTCAAGGGCTTTTTTACTCTGCACTTTAGTAAAACATGGCTAAATCGCATACTGGATCAAATGAAGAGAAAATTCAGGAAGGACTCAGACATGGAATGCAGCCCCGTATTGATGAAGCACATAGAGGACATTATCCCCGAGCTGCTAAGATTGGATGATGACGAAGCACAATTTGGAAAACAGAAGTGTATGCCTCCAATGTTGAAGGGAATTCCAAGAAGCAACTGCCTGGTCATCACACGGAAGCTGACCAACATGCTCTTCCAACGGATGATGGGCGGTTTAACGTTCGCCCATAGCGCATCCTCATCAAATGCTACCATGTACCATGAGATATGGTACACCGTGTGGAACTTCACAGGGCTTTTGCGGTGGTGGCAGAAAACTCAGATCGCCCCACTGGCTCAGAGGATGAGAAGTGCTTTAGTAAACAGTTTGACACCGTCACCGGTTGTCGACCACCAGAGCAGCAATCCTCTAGAGACTTCTGCAGGACCTGCACAGGACAAGCTAGTGCATATGCAACGAAACAGGAATCGAGTAGAAACATCACAGACAGGGAAGATGGAGGACTCAGAATACAGCGTGAAGCCATTTATTGAGTCCTTTTTCAACAGTGTGACTCCAGTACAGTTTGAACTGTTGCGAAATGGCACCCCAGACAGCACCACCAAAGTGCTGTTGGCCGACATGATATTAAATATGGTCACGGTCTTGACAGAAGCCATGCTCGACAAACTAAGGACCAGAAACATGTCTGGAGTAAAGGACGTGGGTGACACTGTGATGCAAGGCTTCAAAGATGTCCTGAAACTCAAAGGCGAGATCAGGGATCAGAGCTCAGAACTGTTGAGTAGCATGATCAATGAAGAGGTTAGAGCCAGAGTCAATTCTAACACCTCTGAAACCTTACTGTCTGGGGACACGACTCCACCCACAAGACTCAACGAAATGGTTAATCATGCCGCAAAAATGATAAAAAGGTTTACAGCAAAGCTGAAATTCCCATTTCGACAGCGAAGACAGAGAACCACTTTCAGAGACAGGCTGGTGCCTGACCTGAATGGGACAGATGACGAGTCTCCAGAAACCTCACACGCAGTTGACAACCACAAGAATGTGGAAGAAGCTGTTGAAGATGATTGGCAATGAAGAAATGCTGCTGGTCGCCAACAGAGAGAAGAAGAAGCTGCATGCGCAGCTGTTTTAACCTGACGACAAATAACTAAGCCTGTGCATTGACTCAGTACATTGACAAATAAAGCTCTTGAACCAAACCCATATAATGTCCTTTTATTTATTAATCAAAGCAAAGATAAATGTGTTACATTTCTGTGGCTTAAGTTCTGTCACAGACAGAACATGCCATCAGGACCGCATCATCTGCAAAAAGCAGCGATGAAATCCGCAGCCCCCAGAAATGTAGACCCTCCTCCCCCCAACTACACCTCGACACCTGTCCATGAATACTAATAATAAAGAAATGGTGCTGGTCTCCTTGAAATTAGGGTACGTCGCAGTAGAAAACTGCATCATCTGTGCTATCAAAGATTACAGGACGCCAACAGAGAGAAGAAGAAGCTGCATGCGCAGCTGTTTTAACCTGACGACAAATAACTAAGCCTGTGCATTGACTCAGTACCTTGACAAATAAAGCTCTTGAACCAAACCCATATAATGTCCTTTTATTTATTAATCAAAGCAAAGATAAATGTGTTACATTTCTGTGGCTTAAGTTCTGTCACAGACAGAACATGCCATCAGGACCGCATCATCTGCAAAAAGCAGCGATGAAATCCGCAGCCCCCAGAAATGTAGACCCTCCTCCCCCCAACTACACCTCGACACCTGTCCATGAATACTAATAATAAAGAAATGGTGCTGGTCTCCTTGAAATTAGGGTACGTCGCAGTAGAAAACTGCATCATCTGTGCTATCAAAGATTACAGGACGCCAACAGAGAGAAGAAGAAGCTGCATGCGCAGCTGTTTTAACCTGACGCCAAATAACTAAGCCTGTGCATTGACTCAGTACCTTGACAAATAAAGCTCTTGAACCAAACCCATATAATGTCCTTTTATTTATTAATCAAAGCAAAGATAAATGTGTTACATTTCTGTGGCTTAAGTTCTGTCACAGACAGAAGATGCCATCAGGACCGCATCATCTGCAAAAAGCAGCGATGAAATCCGCAGCCCCCCGAAATGTAGACCCTCCTCCCCCCAACTACACCTCGATATCCTGTCCATGAATACCACGAACAGGATTGGAGCCCTGGCGAAGGCCAACCCCCACCAGAAACGCCTCCGACTTACTGCTGAGCACCCGAAACAGCTCTCGCTTTGGGCGTACAGGGATTGGATGGCCCGAGGTAGGGACCCCTTCACTCCCTCATTTTCTCTCGGGGGCCCTTGAAAGAGTAAAGAGCTGGTCTGTCGTTCCACGACCAGGACGAAAACCGTATTGTTCCTTCAATCCTTTGTTCGACTATCGGCTGAACCCTCCTTTCCAGCACCTTGGAGTAGACTTTCCCCGGGAGGCTGAGTAGTGTGATACGCCTGTAATTGTTGGAATGCATTAAGCATTCAAAGTATTGTTCTTTCAAGCTATATTCAACTTATTCTATTTATTCTGCGCCACCTTTCAACTCCTTCGCACTTTCAGCTATTTAAACCGTTCAAATGTTAAAACATTCAGCTTTTTCCCGGGAAAGGTTCTATGCCTTTTCAGCTTTCTAGCTCTTAAGCTTGAATTTATATAAATCAATAATCATTAATATTTTAACATGGTTTTCCAATGGAGATCGTTTTTCAAATCCTCTTAAACTTCAACTTTCAGATTCTTCAGCTTCGCCAATCTTTCAGCTAAAGACACCATTTCAACTTTCAAATGTTGACACAAGTCTCAACTATTGTATGAAAAAAACTGCTTGTTGATATCTATTCTACTTTTTTCATAATCACTGATTATGTTTCACTAGTTCTTCGCTCCGTTTCTGAGTTTTACACGAGTGTGTATTTGTAGCACACATGGACATTCGTGACACCCAGCCGTGCGTTAGTTTTAAGAAAATCTTTATTCCTCCGTGAACACAGGTAAGAAGTGCGCATCAGCGCCAAGTTACAGGTACACGCTTTTCCTTACTTTTTTCCAAGCGCGCGAAAACATCTCCCCGTTGTCTCTAAACACGGACCCTTAAGGTGACCTCAGTGCCTGTTCCCTTACCAACACATATACATAATATTGCTTTGCAAAAGAACCTATGCAAGTTTAATCAACAAATAATTAGAAAATCCAATACATAATGGAATATAGGGGGGTGTCCCTTTACTATAGCATATCCATCCTGGGGACCCCACATATTGCGTTTCTTAGAGTGAGACCTCGAGAGTGTGGGGCAGCGTCAGAATCTGGTTAAAAAAAAACTTTTGTCCTCAGAGCCAAATTATGCACTTCTGAGGCTTCATTTCTTTTGATTAATGATGCCATGGTTGTGACACACGAGTGGCAGAAAACTACAAAATACGACAGGAAGTGCACCACACCGTGACAGGCCAGACATAAAAAACGCATCCATGCGTTCGGTAGAGTCTTGGGTCTCGCAAAAACGTCTTAATTTTTATATAACTGTTATAGTTTTTGCGCTAAAGGACACTTGTTTGAGGTGTGGATTCTGTGTAACTCGCTGTCCTGTCTCTGAGCCCAGGTGCACCATTGCCGTGGTTACTCGCACACACGCTGCAGTAGCTCTGTCTGTGACTCACAGCTGCTCCTATTACCTGATTAGTGGAGTCACATGACGCAGCTATGCTTTCTGTTTTAGACAATTAAATGTCAGTGCAGGCACACAAATATTACACATTCCGAACAGGTCGGCAGGCAGGCTAATCCACAACGTGTATTAGCACGCCTATGTAAACATGTGTGTGTTTACATACCTCCTGGATCCTGATTGGTGTCACTGCTGCAGCCGCAAAGCACTGAATGGATGCTCACAGACCACAATACAGCGCAGATGAAAATCATTCAGACTACAGCGTTTATATGTTCAACAATAGGAAACGTAGTCTTAGCTGTTTTAAAATTACACCAAGTTTATTTCGGATTATTCCAACGGAAAGAATACAAGGCGCAGGGAACTTTGAGGTGCGTAAACGCCACTTAGAGGTGGGTAAACGCCATTTAGAGGTGCGTAAACGCTATTTCCAAAATTCCAGAGGTGCGTAAACAGCGTTTACGTGCGTTTACCCTCTACTACAGCCCTTGATCCAGTTGATAGTTTGACTATTGCGGCATGTAACTGTGAATCGGATAAGGAACTGGACTTCCTGCTTGAGATCCCGACGGCGTCTTCTTGCCGTTATCAAATCAGCCAATAGCACCATTCGCATCCGCTGTACTAGTGATGATGCAAACATCATGCAAAAATAGTAGAGGGTTGTAGCTTCACCTTGTTTGTCATCTTACTCGTAATATTGATGTTGTTGTTGGTTGTTGTTGGTAGTGGTGAAGCGGTCAAGCGGAAATGGCTGTATCACAACTAGTTGTAATGAAAACAGCGCCACCTATCGTATCGGATATGACATGCTTTAGGCCAATGATTCGATTTATTCACTGCCATGTATATTGGGATAATAGCACTTGCCCCGAAAGAGAGCATAGTCCGACTAAGCAAAGATTGAATACTTAGTTTGAATAACAAACAGTCTGTCTCCCAAGACCCCCTCACCCAATTCCATCATTTCAAAATAAAAGCCTCAATGATTATCTGTATCTCAACCATGAAGCTCAGAATGAAGCGGTTTTCGTTGAAATACGTATTGCTCTTATACCACTACAACCACTAAGAATATTACTAGTACTTCTAGTAGTACTACAACTGATACTTCTACGACCATACTACTAGTATTTCTACTGCTATTAATACTACAACTACTACTAATGTTATTGCAAATACTACTATGGCTAATAGTGTTAGTATTACAGCTGGTTCTACTGCTATTGATACTAAACCGACTTCTACTGCTAGTACTACTAATACCACAATTACAACTATAACTATAACTAATACTACTATTAATATTACTACAAACAATTTAAAACCTCTTTTTATTCATCTCAGCTTTTGATATTTCTGTATTTTTTTTAATTAATTTAAGCTCCAGCAACTTCTGTATTTTTTAGAAATTCTATTAAAACTCAGGTTCCCTACTTCCTGTATTTTCAGCAGTTCTTTAAAATCATTTCAGCTTTTATTATCCCTCTATTAACAGCAATGTTTTAATATTTTTTTCTGTATTTTTTTTTTAATATTTCACATTTATTTCAGCTTTTTTCATTTCTGCTTTTTCATCAAATCTATTGAAATTCCATGCAGCTTCTCCCATTTCTGTATTTTCAGCAATTTCAAATTAATTTCAGCTTTTGAAGACAAAACTGAGATCATTGTATTTGGTGCTAAAAAAGTTTAAAGTAACCCAACACCTTCACTCTCTGTCCCTGAAAACATCAAATAAAGCCAGAAATCTGGGGGTTATTATGGATTCTGATTTACACTTGGAGAGATCAAATCAGTAACAAAATCGGCCTACTACCACGTCAAAAATGTAGCACGACTTAGAGGGCTCATGTCAGCTCAAGACCTGTCAGGCAGCTCCAGCTTGTTCAGAACGCTGCTGCTAGAGTTCTAACAAAGACCAAAAAATGTGAGCACATTACACCAATTCTTAACTTCTACTTCTTCTATTCTTAAATCCTACTGCTCACATATAAATCACTACATGGTTTAGGGCCAAAGTATATCACTGATATGCTTCTACTACATAAGCCTTCAAGATCACTAAGATCTTCTGACACCAATCTGTTAGTGATTCCCAGAGTAAATGCAAATCATGGGAAAGCATCATTTAGTTACTACGCAACAAACAGCTGGAATAAACTTCCTGAAGATTTAAGACTTGCCCCAACTCTGACCACGTTTAAAACAAGACTGAAAACTTTTATGTTCAGCTTCCCCTTCTGCTAAATTTTACCTACATTGCACTTTTAACTTCTGCCTTTAATTAAACAATTTAAATAAGATTTTAATTTATAATTTTATTTGCTGTTTTTAATTGTCTTTTAGTTCCTGCATTTTATTTCACTTTATTGTATGAAATGTTATAATGTGAAGCACTTTGAGTCTGCCTTGTGTATGAAAAGTGCTATACAAATAAAATTGCCTTGTCTTGCCTTTTCTAATATCTGTAATTTCAGCAAATGTATTCAAATTCCCCTCAACTTTCTGTAATTTCA